GTACTCCTAAGCTTTAGAAGGGATGGTTTTAGGTGCCTGATGCCCCTTAAAAATGAGGCCAGTCGCTTAAAACCTTATCGAAATGGTTGAATTGATGTGTTGGATGATTTCAGGTTATCACTTGTCCACACCAGTAGTTTATCTTTTTACTTGCCGTGGAGTTAATTGTGAACTCGGCGATAGGCTGCTTGGCTTTAGAGTACGTAGGTTGCATCTGAATTAATGAAACTTCAATACGTACACGAATGTTTTGCAAGCTTTTTTGTCTGCCCCTGCATTGAAAAGCTATAGTTCATGCTGTAAAGCAGGGAATTCGCTGTGGCAGAAGTTGTGTTCCTGACCGGTACCTTCTGTGATCTTAGTCTTTAAAAAAAAAATGCGGGCAGTTTTTCTGTTTGCCCAGACAGGTGTGTTGGTGTTAAAACAGCGCGGTGGCTGCTGTGGAAGCCATCACAGTGGCTAGTGGGTACGGTTGATGCAGTTCTTGTGCCTTGAGATACGCTTAGAACAGACTCTCGGGCCAAACCTCAGGAAGGACTCTAGTGCTCCGATACTGCTCTTGTCACACCCAAGCTTCTGAAACTTTCACTGCTGGCTAAATCATTACCTGCATTTTCAGTCCAAAGCGGTTTTTTATGCCAAATCATTGGGTTGTTTAGTCTCTCACCTTTTTTAAAACCTCTGAATTGCACGTTTTCGGAACGTGTATCCCGCCTGCCCCACCTGAGAGCTGTGGGGCAGGGTTGGATCCCTGCGCTGTGCCTCGTGGCCCTACAAGCTTTGACTTGAGAGGCAACCGGTGTTGGAAAAACTGGTACGGTTTTTTACAGGATCGGAATAATTTTCACAAAAGTTAACTTTGGGCGTTTAAATGTGTGTTAACTACCAGTCTCGAGGCTAAAACATGCAAGGATGGGCGAGTTCGGTAATTAGCGTTTTAGTCTTTGATTGGATGGTGACTTGGAAAGGACCAGAAGGGATTGGGCTGGCTGGTGGGGTTTTTCTTTGTTGTTACCCAGGTTGCCTTCTGGAGCCAGAAGCTGTGAGATGAGCAGAACCCATCTGGATATCCAGAGAATCCTGTTGTTGGGGATTGGGGCTTAGCAGCCCTTACACCTCCGAGATGTGAATTTTTTAGGTTGATAATTGCTCACCCCCAGAGAATTTGGGGGACGTATCTTGTCTTTTTCTCTACAACTTCAGAATTTATGTGATATTTTAAATATTTCTAGTATAGTTCCAGTGACAGGTATTCCCCAGTGGGCAGAACCCTCCCAGTAAGAGGACAACAAGAGTAGTTTAGCTACATTAGTGTCCCAGACAAGCATTAAACCCTAAGATTGCAGGTTGGGTCTGCCACGGACGTCTGAAGGGTTTGGAAACGGCTGTGCCTAGGTGATGGTGGTTTTTGATTTGGGCTGTGTGATACTGTAGCTCATGATGAGTTTTAACAGGTACTTTAGGTATATAGTGTCGCAGCGTGTAACTTGCAGGCCTGAAAATCAAAAGCCTTTTCATTTGTTTGGGATTCTACCATTATTTTTCTTGGGGGAAATGGAGAGCAGGTTGCTCGACATGTGTTTTAGAATCTTTTTTGTTTTGCTTCTTTGTACCAAAGCTAAAATGGAGGGAGGGAGAGAGCCAGGTTGGCATGGATACATGACATACTATTAAACATGGCATTCTGCTTTGGTGTCTTTAAATCAGAAATTATGTACATAATGTGCAGGGGTAACAAAACTGTCTTCTTATCAAACTTATAGTCTGTATTCTTCCACAGAAGAGCACCACACAGAAGTGCCTGTTTTGTTTTGATAGCGCTTCTCGAAATGGCAGCAGTTCATCTATTTTCTTAATGCAAAGACAAAAATTGAGACACTACTGCTGTTGAAGTTTTAGATAGAATTAAAAAAAATACATTTTATGACAGGTTGATTCTTGCTCGGGGACATTGGACAGCCTGACTGAACAGAGACAACCTTATCCACAGGAGTCTGTGTGCTCAGAGCTGTTTGTCGACTGGTGAAATGCTCAGGGAACAGCTTGTAATATTCACAACTTTTTTATAAGTATTTTCTTGTGGAGATTTTTAAGATGTGGCAAACAGGTCCTTATATAGTATTGCCAAAGCTGAGCTGCAGAGCTTGATAAAGTCGCTTTCACTTATGTTAACTAGGGAGCCTCCTACCTTGTGGGATCATGGAGCTGTTTCAGCTTGATAACGTTTTAGGCTTGACTAGCGTATGTCACAAAAAATAAACTAAGCTCTCATGCTGCCAGCTTCTCCTGTGGGTTGTTTTCTCATTGAATTCCTGTACTAAATTCAAACTGTATTGGGGGGGGAGAAATTGGAGGGTTGGGGGAGGGCAGCAGTAGCACTTGGAAGTTCTGCAAAGCCTGAAATTGGTGTAAAGTATTCAGTGATATTTTTTTTTAATGTAAAAATTCTAGAAGTTCAGAATTGCTTTTGTTCCAGTTACGAACAATGCAGCATTGTTCCTAGTGTACAGAAACAAAATCAGTGAAACTAGTCAAACTTTCATTGTCTAAACTGTCTGACAGACATCTAAACAATTGCTCTTGTTTTACTTTGCTTGTTGCTGGCTTGTTAGGAACTGCTAATTTTTGAGACTGTTAAAATTGGGGTGACTCTGAGGGATGCAGCTGGGGGATTTCTGCTGTGAGACAGCTCTGCTGAGATAGGGATGCTTCTGAACTGGAGACACTTACTCTAGAACTGGTTTTGAAGGTTAAGAATGGAGAGTTCAGTGTCTTGGATATGTTAAACTTGATAGGTTGTGGCACCGTTTCGGGATGGTTGGGGAAGATGTTTGTGTGGTGTTGGCATGGGGCGTTTCTAGCCTTGGTTTTGTTTTGAGTGTCAGCTTCTTAGAAAGGCCTTTCCTTCATGTATCACAAGGGTAGACTAGAAGTTATCTTGAGGTTCTCTTCTAAGGAAACAGCCCCAAGCTTCTGACTCTGTATGCCTCTCTTCAGTACAGCCACATCTCTCCACCCAGTTTTAGCCATACCTCCTAGAGATGGCACAAGCGAAACGATAGGCACTCCGAACGATGGCCAGTGGCGGTTTTTCTTTTGCATGTGTCGACATTGATGAGACCACGCTGAGCAAACGTTGCGCTGTGTGGAAGAGCGCTTCTGCCCCTTTCCCAAACCGATCCGGTAAAGTTACAGCTGTGAAGTGTTTGGGAGCTGCTGGTTTGGTGGCTGATGGGTGTTGATCCTCCTTTCGTGGAGGAACTCCCCTTCGGTGGCTGCTCTGAAGTTCCCAACACCAAAAGCACTGATAAGCTAAAACTTCATCTGCAGACTTAATCTTTCACCTCTCACCTTTTTCTGATTACAATGCTGCAAGCTTCTGAGCTCAAATGTGAGGATCACTGTTTGCCTGCTGAAAATCAAGGATGTATCCACCCAGTTAATATATGCCATTGGGTGGCTTCATCCTTCTGAAAGGTACAACTAACAGTCTGTTCTTCCTCGTTTTTCTTGACCCGTTCAGGGTTCTAGGAGACAGACCAGTGGGAGGCGACATCCTTTGAAGCTGCTGCCATGTGAATTAAATATGCTAGAGGTCAATATTTCGTAGTATCTTCTGTACCTGGTAACTGAACCAGGCCATTCTGCCGCTCTCTCTGGTCACCGCAAATGCCTTTTTTAAGAAAAGCAGAGTCTCATTCTGACAGCAGGTGGTGTTTAATGGGATCGTGTGGGGCCAGCAGCAGTCCCACCAGTTACTGCTTGTTGCGTTGGTATTTTTTGGGCAGTGGTCTTTGCTTAAAAAGTCTTCTCCTTGTCCCAATACCTGACATCCCCTGCTTCAGTTGTGCCACCATCTCAGCACTAGTCCACTAAAAGATCTCTCCCTGCTACTGGGCAGACTAAAAGTAGGAAGAACAAGAACTATGTGCCCAAGGCTTTATTTATTACAAGAATTACCTGTTCTGCCAAACGTGCGAAGTCATGTGTGTGACCAGGCAGCTGGAGGTGGCTTAGCTGTGCCTGTAGAGGAGGAGAAGTGAATGCTATGGAGAGTCTGAATGGGTGTAGCTGAAATGCCAGTAAGTGTTTTTGTCCTCTTACCTGCTTTAGAGTCGGTGTTCAGCTTTGTTAGTGTTTGCTGCTCGCTACCAGTGGGTGTGCAGAGAATAAGTGAAATGAATTCTGCTTGGGGTGTATCTTAGAAATGTAAGCAACAGCTCAAGTTGTGTGGGCTCATTTAACTTTTGCCTTAGTACTAGGGCAAACGGGCTTCCTTCTTGAGGAAGCAAAACACATTCTCTTCTGCCTTTGTCTTCAAACATGGAGTATTTGGGGTTTTAAATAACTGTCTGGAATAGCATTTTGAAATTAATTTTGCTTGTCCTACGCATAAAGGCGTTTGTGACCTGATGTCTGTGTCCTATTTAATATGTAGTTAACATGCTGCAATAGTGGAACACTTGTTCTTTCCACTTTGCAAAACAGCGTTGCTCCAATGAATGAATTGCTACCTCATGTATTGGCAAGCAAGAAATAAACGCTTTCCTTATAAGCTTTGTATCACTAACTTGTTGTTAACAAGATAAACTAAATGAGTTTTAATTGTGATTCGCTGACAAAGACGTAGCATTAGCAGAATACAGCCTCACCATCTCTGCCTCTTGGTGCGTCTTGTAACGCTTAAAAACGTGGTGTAGTGAAGGCTGGGAAAGGCATCTGTAAGTTTTTGTGGATATGATAGTGTTTTGTGTAGTAAACGATTTCATTCTTTCTGCTTCTAAATGTGGTGCGTATATGGAAAAGAACTGGGGAAGAAAACCTACAAATGAACAAAAGAGCTGGAGCAAATCTAGAAAGTGAAACTGTGTCTGCAAGAGGCTGCATCGTGTGTGTCCTTAAAGCCGGGAAAAGGAACTTTGAAACGTGATTGTGTGTTTGTGCACAGACTAAATTGATGTTAAATGTAACCCGTGTTTATTGTTCTGATTTTTTTAGAGATGGTGGAGCCAGGACAAGATCTGTTGCTTGCTGCTTTGAGTGAGAGTGGAATCAGTCCAAATGATCTATTTGATATTGACTCTCCGGACGTGGTTCTTGCAAATCCAGCACCAACTCCAGCTGTTCAGCGGGTCAAAACAAGAACGTGGTGGTTTGCTGGAGGACATGAGAGCTTGTACTTGATGTATTGCGGAGGGGGGTGTGGTGTCTGTAGCAAATGGCTAGAGAGTGTGGAGTTTTCATCAGCTTCTTGCTTCATAGTGCTGAGACTAGAAATGACTTGCTAATTAATTTTAAGCTTTTATCCAACAAAGCAGTTGAAAATGCACAGTGGAGGTCAGTATAAACATAAATATACTTAACTTGTGGACATCAAATGGGGGCATGCTGTCACATGTCTGTGGAGACCTCTTAATGTCACTGAGTCTAGCTGCGCTCCTGTAAAATGTGCAAAAAGTGTAATATCGTGGTGTTTGAGCTCCGTGACTGCATTCAAGCTGCAAGAACATAACCATTTCAGGCCTAGCCTGGGAACAATAGTGTGTTGAACAGCAACATCACAACACTAGTCACATTTTCACCGCAGTGAGCTGACGAGGTGTAGTATGTTTATCTTCTTTGCATGTGAAATCAACCACTTGATGATCTTTGTTTCAGTGGGACCTTTGCTAATGAGTGCAGGACTTCCCCATGAGCTTCCATTTTGTGGGTGGATATTTAGTCTTAAGGGTTTTTCCCCTGCTAACGTGTTTCCTGATGCTTACTTTCTTTCCTCTGCAGTCAGTGCCGCTTAGTGCGTTAGAACTAGGCTTGGAGACTGAGGCCACAGCTGCTGTGAAACAAGAACCAGAGACTGTATCAACTCCAGCCTTATTAAATGTTCGGGTAAGAACAGGTGCTTTTGTACGTGTGTATGAGGTGGGTTAATCTTGGCTGGACACCAGGTGCCCACTAAGCCAGTCTGTCGCTGCCCCCCCTCAACTGGAAGGGAGAGAAAAAATAGGACAAAAGGGTTGTAGGTTGACATAAGGGCAGGGAGATCAGCAATTACTGTAACAGGCAAAACAGACTTAACTTGGGGAAGTAATTTAATGTATTGCCAATTAACAGTGGAGTAAGGTAGTGAGAAATAAGAACAAATCGAGAAACACCTTCCCTCCACCTCTCCCTTCTTCCTGGGCTCGACTTCACTCCTGGCATCACCAAGTGTCATCTCTGCTGCTCTTCCCTGCTGCAGCAGCTCCTTCATAAACTTTTCCAACCTGAGCCCTTTCCATGGGCTGCAGTTCTTCGCGAACCGCTCCAGCCTGGGTCCCTTCCACAGGGCGCAGTCCTTCAGGAACTGACTGCTCCAGCGCGGGTCCCCACATGGCTACAGAAAACTTGTGCCTGTGTGGACCCCTCTCTGTGGGGTCTCAGCATCCTGTGGGTGCATCCACCCACTCCAGTGTGGGGTGCTCCACGGGCTGCAGGCAGGTGTGCTCCCCCACAGATCTGCATGGCTGGGGGGACAGCCTGCCTCACTCTGGGCTGCGGAGACTTTGCTCAGGTGCCTGGGGCACCTTCTCCCCTCCTTCACTGACCTTGGTGTCTGCAAAGTCGTTTCTATCACGTATGCGGTTGCTGATTGCACAGCAGTTTTCACCCTTTCTTAAATATGTTATTGCAGAGGTTCTGCTACCATCGGAGATAGCTCTGCCCAGGCCAGCGGCAGGGCTGCCTTGTGACTGGGTCACACTGGCTGTATCGGATGTGGAGGATGCTTCTGGCATCTTCTCCCAGAAGCCTCCGCTGTAGTCCCCCCCCCCACCAAACCCTTGCCACGTAAACCCAATGCAATCAGTAAAACGTAACAAAAGAGGTGGGACTGCAAAATGCCAGTTGGCCATCATCTCTGCTCTGCTTGTACTGAGACTGTGACAGCTCAGCATAGCCGTGGGTCGATAAGATTTCTGTGACAAGGAATACTAAAGAGCACAAAGCAGTACGAAGAAAAACATTTTGAGGTGTCTTGTGTGCCTCTTACTTCCCCTGCGTGCAAATTCTGGGCATAGGGAGGTTGTGTAAACCTGTCTCCTGTGTCCAAACTCTGTACCAGCTTTTCTGGCTGCAGATAATTCTGAGCAGTGTTGTCTGGTGGTTGCACCCAAACCAAGATGCAAAAAGGAGAGTGGCTGGGAGGTGGATGCAGTGCAGTGTGTGAGAGAGGCTGCATGTATACTTCAAGTCATCCAACCTATTGACTGTGACACTTGCGCAGAGTCTTCTATATACAGATAGATAGAAACTAGATTTGTGAGACTAGATATGTATGTGAAATTCTCTGCAGCTCAGGGTTCCTGTACCTGTAGCAGTCATGTGTTGTGCCTAGGTGATGAATCCTTCGTTCTATTCTTTATTTACTTTCCTTTTCCATAAAATAAGATTCAAAAGTACATACTGCAATATATTCATAGGCAGACACTTCCTGCTCAGATTGTTGCCCCACAAGCTAATTGTCATAGCATCTTCAGCATGTTATGTGAAGACATTTCTTACTACAAGACTCTTAAAAATCTGGTGACTCCTGTGCTCTAGATGAAAGGCAAACAGTGTCTGCTGTGTTTTCACTGCTTTCTGAATGTTTCCCTGGTTCTTTTGTTGCTAGCAACCACCATCCACCACCACCTTTGTGCTGAATCAAATCAATCAGCTTCCAACTTTGGGGACTACAATAGTGATGACAAAAACGACACCTGTTACAACCACGAGGCAGACTATCACTGTAGCCAAGATCATTCAGACCAGCACAACTACTCGACCCTCGGTTGCAGCACCAGCAGTTCGCAATGCCTTGACCACTGCACCTCCGAAGGACCAGATTCAGCTGAAAGATCTGCTGAAGAACAATAGTCTTAATGAACTCATGAAATTGAAGCCACCTCCTAATATTGCCCAGCCAGTAGCAACAGCAGCAAGTGAGTTTTCCTCGTTGTTCATAATTAATGGTGTTTTAGACAAACAGTGAAATAATGTAATGTGAAGATCTTTGCACATCTTGTACTTCCATCGATTAGTGGGATATTGCAGTGAAATGAAATGGTCCAGAAAACCTGAGAAGTTCTATTCTAACTCTGAAAGTGTTAGAATTCGTGGTGAAGTAACACAAAATAACAGGCTTTTAAGAAATAATTAAGCTCTCAATTTACTGGAGGGAATGAGGAAAATGACATTTGAGATTGCAGCTGGCTAATTGGTGACATTAATTCACAACCGTTACTAAAGTTGATTTAGCTGTCTTGAGTCCACATCAGTTTGTTCTGCCATGGAACTGCCAGATGCGTAGTTTGTCCGCGTTTGCGGTACGTGCAGTACTGCTGCCGTGGGGTCTTTCTGTCACACCTCTCCTCAGAAAGAAAATCCGTCCCTGCAGTTCCCTGTGGGGCATCAGATCTGCTCTTTAAGACATGAACTTGATTCCGTGTTACTTCTTAAATGGGATGGTCGTGCCACAGGTGTGTTCTTACCTTGCCCCAAATCTTCGTTTGCGATTCCTTTAGTAATGTCGTTGCTGACATGTGGGCAGCTTAATCCAGGGCAAGAGCTGCACGAGTGTGTGTTCTTATTATTTCTTTCAAGTTATTCTGGTTTCAGCGTGAGGTTAACGATCAGACTAGTTGAGTTTGAAAATGTCTCTCGCTGCTTTTTTTTTCTGCAAGGCTTTTTCTGGATTACTCTTCACTGCCTCTGAAGTGAGATTTACCGATCTCCTAGGTGGAGCTGGAAGTAACCTATTTTTCATATGCAGATCGAGTGTGTGATAAATGCAGCTGTCTGTTGGGGCTGAAACACAAAGAAGAATGTGCCTCCTTGTTTCATTGCTCCCTGTTACGGGGTGGTTGGCAAAAGTTGAAGCTGAGACACCGACTGAATTTGGGGCTGGGGTAAAGAAGTGAGGGAGAGGAGGGGGAGAAGGTTTTATAGGATGATTTACCCCTTTGTGCCAAATGAAAGCTCAGGCGCACATAAGTAATAGGAAACGTGACAGTAGGTGTTGAAGTGGTGCAGCTGCAGAAAATAATTGAGTGTGTAGCTGCTGCATTAAGTGAAAGGGAGACCTGCAACTTTGAGCTGCATTTCTAATCTTCATTGGCTGCTTGTGCCTCTGCATCTTTGTGTGTGCTTACAAAACAGCACTGACAAACACTTGTAGGAGGTCAGGGACAGAGAAGCTCTTGGAAAGAAACGTGGTAGTTTCATACAATTCAGGCAGCAGAAGTTCTAGATTGGAAAATATTAAATGATGCAGCCTCTGAGGAAAACTTTTTGTGTAGTTGTCTTGTGTTTTAGGTGCAGTTGTGCTAAATTGATCACTGCGCTGATTGTCAACGTGACGGGAGTTTGACAGCTGCTCTCAGTTTTGCACCTATCCTTGTGTATGTGTGTTCTGTTCTGAGCCCTGTTGCCAGTTGCTTCCAAACGTGACTGAGGACAGGAAAGTTAACAAATGGTCCTCTTGAAGGATCCTCTTGTTATAAACAATTGAGTCCAAAGCGTTAACTTCTTGTTTTACAGAAATAATTGTAGCTTCTCCTAAGGTGGTAAACGCCACCAGACCAGGTAAGTTCATTTCTGTTGCAACGCTGGCCTTCCCGGTTTGTTGGTAAACTTCAGGGGCTCACAGGATGGAGTGTTGTTAAATACTGGGTATAGATTTGGTGAAAGCCCAAAACATTTTTACTCTTGTTAAATACTGGAACTACTACATGACCGTGTTGCGTGCGGTAGTGTTAATGGGAAGTTTCTTCAGTCGAAGAAGTAACAGGGTTTAACTCCTTGCGCAGAGACTTTAATTTGGACAAAAATACTGTGCTCTTGAAGCATGAGTGTGCTACTGGGTGTTTTCAACTTCCCTTCCAACTCGTTAACAGAGAGGGGTGTTAATTTGAGTCAGTGTTTGGTGGGAATTCTGGTAAAACACAGCTTTTCTCTTGTAGCCGACCTGAGTAATGGTGCAGTGAAGAAGGAGGCTTCCACAAAAGAGGTAGCAAGAATATGGATAAATGATATGAAAATGAGAAGCTTTTCACCTACCATGGTAAGTAGGACGAATGGTGGATTTGCCGAAGGAGCGGATGTCGTATTGGCCGCAGCCACCTGTGACTGGGTTCAGTTACTCATAAATGCCCTGTGTGTGGTGGGAGTACCGAGAGCGCCTGTCTGTTCAGAAGGTTAGCTTCTCCGCTTGATGCCTGCTGGGTTCGATGACTAAAACGCACAGCTGTGTGGAGCTGACTGCCTGTGTAGTAAAGGACAACTTCAAGAAATGACTGTCCTCTGCATGACCTCCCTGTGTAGACAAAGGGGCTGCTCCAGTTAAAGCTGAAAGCGTATCTCTTGCTCTGTGCTCTAAGAAGTTTTCTTTTAACATGTCCCTGTTTGTAAAACTAGCAGTGAGGGAACCAAGAGTCTCGCTCTAGCGTGGCTCACCTTCTGGGCAGTTTGATTTACGATGTCAGTGGAGCATCATTCAGTTCTCTAAATGTAATAAAAACAGGTTCTCCTGCTGTGAACACTTGAGTTCCAGCATCTTCGCTGATAGATGCAGTAGGCTGAAGTTTGTGGTGAGCAGTGCTCCTTGGTGATTGGCATACAGAAGGCTTTCCAGATGACTTTTCTATATTAAACATTCAATTAGTAATTGCGGAAATCTTCGATTTTTTTAATCTAGTGGGTACTTAACAAATATTCATGTATTTACGCTGATGAAGGTCACAGTAGAAAACGGCTGTCAGGGTTCAGACCTGCATGGAGCTGTGACTGTTCCCCCAAATTAACTGTGACAGTTACAGCTGTAACTGTTCCCTGAAGTTGTGAAATCACGTGATGACTATGAAGCTGCTGGAGGCTTCGTGGCAGCACTTGGAAGTTGCGGCTGGGCTGTGAGCTCGCTGTTCTGTTTTCAAGGCAAATTTCTTTTCACTTGTAGTTTGGATTTAATGTGCTGTAAGAAGTATGTCTTTCATTCCACGTATGTGAGCAGGGAGTACTTGAATCTCCTTGCAGAGGAGAGGAAGTTCCCTGACCCTGTGTCTCGGAAGGGTTGTTCGGAGTGTAACAAATCATGTCCGTCTGTAGCTTTCCCAGCTGCTCACTGATTCATTTAGTACAAGTGTTAATAGTGCACATTGGTGCTCATTTCATTTGTCCTGTTAATCTCCAGGACGTTATGCATAATGTGCCGTTTGGCTGATGCAGGTATTTCTCTCTTCTAGAAAGTGCCAGCGGTAAAAGAGGAGGAGGAACCGGAGGAAGAAGATGAAGAAGAAATGGGCCATGCGGAAACCTACGCTGAGTATATGCCAATAAAATGTAAGACCTTGTGGTTTTCTACGTCAAAAGCCCGAAGTGTTTTCAGAGCTTATGTCTTATTTACTCTTCTGTAGCTACTGGCTCCAAAAACCAGATAGGTTACTGTTGGAATCGAGTGAAAAGGACCTGAACTTGTGGTGGGCTTTCCTAGGAAGTCATTCCTTTCTGTAGTGCTTAGTTCTGGAAACTATGCAGATCCTTTTTAATAGAAAAGGCATTCTTTAGCGTATTTTTGAGCAGTACTTGCTCCAGAGGTGATGGATGAACCAAGATCCGTCTTCTTTCACCTGTGTTAAGACACTCTGTCCCTCAGCAGAGGAAATGTTGTAAGGGGATTGAGTGGTCACTGCTACGCTCCAAAACCTGTTTTGGTGTGAAATTACTATGAGCACGTTCTTACTGCATTGTTCCTGACTGACTTCCTGGAGTTACTTAAAAAAGGAAAACCAGTGAGTCTTTTACTGCTGTTAATTGCCATCCCCTCTTTCTCTCCCTCTTTACTGTCATGGGTGACAAGAAGCCGTTACCTTCTTTCCTGGGTATGTCGCTGACCTGCTGTAAAAGCAAGGCAAAAAATTTTGCATGGAGTTTGTAGCTAAATGGTTAATTTTTATTGTTGCTGATGAGATCTGTCAGCAATTAAACCATGTCTGTTCTAAATCTTTTCTCCCCTCGTACTGCTTAAAAACAGCACTACATAAATAGTGAGAAGAATGTTGCTTTTGTGATTCTGGCATCTGGAGGCTGCCTCTGGCCTTCTGGGAAGGCAAGGTTCAGACCAGTTTTTCTCAAACGTGTCTAGTACACAAACATTACTTCTCTATTAACTGAATCTTATCTAATTTCATAAGGGTTGGGAGTAGGTGTCGAGAAGGGAAACAAGATTGCAGTTACACAAATTCAGGTTAATGTATTCCTTCGTGTGCAGTTTAACACGACATACTGTTGCAACAGAATGTAGCTGGTGTAGATCCGGCCTTTGCAATGGACAATCGTCATGTGTTTTGGTAAATACAACCAGCCCTGCTGCAGCAACAGAACTCTGCTTTCATCTTCTCCCTTTTCAACCAGTGAAAATTGGTCTACGTCATCCTGACCCAGTTGTGGAAACCAGCTCGTTATCCAGCGTGACCCCTCCTGATGTGTGGTACCAGACATCAATATCGGAAGAAACGATTGACAGCGGCTGGCTGTCGGCTTTGCAGCTTGAAGCGATCACTTACGCAGCCCAGGTATGCCGGACGTTAGCTCAGCTGGCAAGCTAATGGAGAGTTGAGGAGGAAAACGTGTTCTGATGAGTGCTTCTATGTCAGTGTCACCAGGAGATGAGATGGGAGCCCAAAGGTTTGAGTTGTGTTAAAAGGTGGCAGACGAGCTTCAGCTCAGACAAACGTGAGGTAGTACACCTAGGAAAGCTGTGTCTAAACCACTTCCACGATGCTGGCCTCAAAAACAAGGACTAAGATGTCCTTCTGGTGTTTTAAGGCAGTTTATTGCTTTGAAATAACGTAGTGGCTGCAGAAGCTGCAGGCAGCGAAAGCCAGCGCGGTTTGGCATCGTTGGTGTAGAGAAGGAGACTGGGTGGGATTTTGCTGCCGTGTTCAGCGCCTGTGGGCCCACATCAGATGATGCGTGTGCTGCGCCCTGCTTGTCGGGGAGGAAGGTACTCGAGAGGACTGGAATGCTCACAGGAGAGGGAAGAAGTTGCCTCTTGAAAGAGACTAACAAGATGTTGTGGTTTAACCCCAATTCTAGTGCTGAGGGAAGAAGGGGGAGAATGAGTCACACAAAACAGTTAGGCTCATGCCCTCCTTAAATAAAATCCCCTCTTCCTGCTGTCAGGAGGCCGCTTGGCTGGGCAGACCACTGCTTTCATCCCGTAGGATGTTTGCTCATTGCTGACAATCCAGTGCTGTGTTCTGGAGAACGGATACAAGTGTTCTGTTCTTTCTCCTGCAGCAACATGAAACATTCCTGCCCAATGGAGACAGAGCTGGATTCTTGATAGGTGATGGTGCTGGTGTAGGAAAAGGAAGGACCATAGCTGGGATAATCTATGAAAACTACTTGCTGGGCAGGAAGAGAGCTGTCTGGTAAGTGTGTGAGGGTTTGTCAGGGCAGGGAGTGACTCTGGTACTTGAAGTTGGTGTAGTCTGTCTTAAGACAAATGTTCTAGCAACTGCTTTTTGACCTTCTCCTGTAACTTAGGGAATATATGCTTTGTTTCCTGTTTTCAGGTTTAGCGTGTCCAATGATCTGAAATACGATGCTGAAAGAGATTTGAGAGATATTGGAGCAAAAAACATTTTGGTTCATTCATTAAACAAGGTGTGGAAACTTTTTACTATGTACAGTTGAGGCTTAGGTATGCCTGTGTGACAAGTTGTCTGTTGACTGTTTTAAGAGTAAGTATGTACTAATTTCAATAAACTTGCTGTCTAGGTCTTGTTTGACAGGCCTTAATCTTCAGAAGAACCACACAGTGCTTGAAGTTAATCATGTAAATAGGCCCCTTGTAGGATAAAGTCTTAGCATGTGATGGTGTCTTCTTTAAAACCATTACTCTTCAAGCCACTACTGACACTATTAGTATGTTCTGTAGTTGAATTAGTCTTTCGTTCTTTTAGACTTTGTAGCACTTGAGTTTTTCCTTCCAAACTCCCGGCGCACATCGTCCACGTAATGCTTTTCCTATGTAGTTCTTGAATAACAGACTTCCACAGTGATTTATTGAATCAGTTATTTTTGGAGACTGTGCCTCTGCTCAGGATTAGCCACTTACATAAACTGTGAAGTGTGATTACTGGCTGAATTCACTGAACTTTGATTGAAGTTAGTGGTTTTGCTTTGTAAGTCTTAATTTCTAAAATGCAGTAAAGCTTTAGAAATTGTCATTTGTGGGAGTAGCCATCGGTACGCTTGGCCTGTTAACTCTAAGGGATGAATTTAAACTAAAATCTTCATTGTATTCCCATTAAGGACACCATGTAGTCAGAGAAGGGGGCTGTTAGTCTGGTGGGGCTTGGGTCCAGTCTTCCTTAAGCACAGATTTACATAAGGCCCTGTATAACCCTTTGACCACATCACCACGCGCCAGCCGTGTCCTGCTCATGGCGGAGGGGTACGGGTGGTTCACAGCCTGCACGCCTTCGGGTTGTAATCGCGTGGTAGGTGGGTTTGAGGGGCGATCTCTGAATAGTTTCTGTAATTTCTCCTCTTCTTATTGCAGTTCAAGTATGGGAAAATTTCTTCCAAACATAATGGAAGCGTGAAGAAAGGCGTAATCTTCGCTACCTATTCTTCTCTCATTGGTGAAAGTCAGTCGGGGGGGAAATACAAAACCAGATTAAAGCAGCTTCTTCACTGGTGTGGTGAAGACTTTGATGGCGTTGTATCCTTTATCTGGAGTTTGTAACCAAATGGCTCTTGACATCTTTAAAGGTGATCTTGTGTCTCAATTTGCTGGTGGCTTTAGGTACTGCTCTTTGTTCGTGACCGTAAGCCATCGTGTGTGTGCTCTAACACTTGCTTGGTTTTACAGACTTTTCTAAATCTCTTCCCATCATATTGTTGTCACACACCTCTGGTACCAGAGTGAAGCTTCTGCTTTTTCTGTGATGAACACATAAAACTGGAAGATGCTAAGAACCTTAAGTTTACATCAAACTTTCCGCCAGTGAATTGTTAAGTTTTGTTGAGTATCAACAACATTTGAAAGAGCTCGAGTGTTGGTAATTGTGCTTTTACTAGCAAAATACTTCTTCCATGGCTTTTACTGAAAAACAGGACTAGTGTATTTGAGTTTACAACTTACTGCTGCCTGTTGTAACTAGCAGATTTTCTTGTGTTTTAGCGCTCTATTCTAAAAACAAGCGGGACAGTTTTTTCCTTAATTGTGCTTTAGATCGTATTTGATGAGTGTCATAAAGCAAAGAATCTGTGTCCTGTTGGTTCCTCAAAACCAACAAAGACGGGTCTGGCTGTATTGGAACTTCAGAACAAACTTCCAAAAGCCAGGGTGGTTTATGCCAGCGCCACAGGTGTGTACTGCTTGGTTTGCACTGCATGTCTCCCTGTGTTTTCACGGGCACCGGTACAGAGTGTGTTCTTCTCCTAGGTGCATCTGAACCAAGAAACATGGCCTATATGAACCGCCTGGGAATATGGGGGGAAGGAACCCCATTTAGGGAATTCAGTGATTTTATTCAGGCTGTTGAAAGAAGGTAATGTTGGGAAGAGCTACAGCGAGCACGCGTGTGGTGGGGGTTGGCTGTGCTTTCCGGTTCCTTTGTCTTCACTCACTCCGCAAGCCTGTCCTGTCACACCAAGAACTTTCTGACTCTGGCTTCTAAATCTAGCAGACATGTCATTTACCTTAGGTGGTGACAAATCGGATGTTTCCCTCACAGAAAAATTTGGACTCTTTAGAAGCAATAGCCCTCTTACAATGTGGGTGTTAAATGAAAATACTTTGCTGCTCGTCATGAAAACGCACTGTGCACTCGGTAGGCTCAGGGTGGCTGGTGTCTCACTACAGGCAGCAGCTCTCAAATGTTTTTGCGTTCAGCTTAGGCAGTTCAACAGGAAGAAGCCTTGTTCTGATGCTTCCTGGCATAAAACCCCCATTCAGGAGAATCGTGTATGCAGTTGCAAGGTGCTTTGTATTTCAGAACTTGTTAAAAACCTAAATGTGTGAGGTCAGTAGACAGTGCAACTACCACATTCTTTGGCAGGTGAGCCCCTTAATGTATTACATTCTTCTGACTTAAAAAGAACTTGGAACACTCCAGAATGCTACGGCAGGGCTTAGTGTCTATCTGGCATGCCATCTCCGTGATGCGTGACTTCTCCGCACAGCGCGAGCGTAGCCTCTGCTTCGTTACTGAGTACGTGTCAGATGAGCAATGGTGAAATTACAGGCCCGAGCTTGTGAGCAGGTGAGCTTTGCAGCTGACGGTGTACTCCAAGGTGTTGCTCAAGGTGTGCTGCTGTTGAAGAGAGCTTACTACCCGCTAGTTGTTGTTTTCGTAGCGGCGTAGATCTGAATAGCTTGATACAGTTTATATTCATATTTAAAATCTTCAGTGGCCTGTATAAAGTTACCATGCCAGATTTTGTTACTGATTTGGACCAGCTTCGTTATCCAGGTGCAGTCTCCTAATGCACGCTAGGTCATTCGGGGGCAAAGTAACTGTCGGGAGTGTTCACACCTCTGGGGACACACTTCATACTTAAGAGGCAGGGACAGAGTTTTATGTGAAGGCTGAATTTCAAGACCCCCTGGTGGGATGTGTTTAGCAAAACTGTGCTAATGGTTTTGAAAACATTCCCTCACATTGGTGTGTGCTGATTTCTTCTGAAGCGCTGGAGGGTTCTTTGTAACAAATCCTTGCTCTTGAAAATTCTAATACTGACTTTAACCTGCTCTCTTATTTTAGAGGTGTTGGTGCCATGGAAATAGTTGCTATGGATATGAAGCTGAGAGGAATGTACATAGCAAGACAGTTGAGTTTTTCAGGTGTAACTTTCAAAATTGATGAAGTTCTGCTTTCACAGGAGTATGTGAAAATGTACAACAAATCTGTGAAACTGGTAAGGACACCTTTGTACATTTGCTTTCTGTATTGAGTTCTCAGAGACTGAAGTTTAAACCTGAATGCTGCCGCAATAGCCCGCATCTCTTTCCACAGGGCACGTTCTGCTGGTACATCGCTGCTGTATTAGATAAGAGTAATTACTCCTTGGACAGTGATTAAAATGAGCAGGGTCCTTACCTGCCTAAGAGGTGCTTAACGTGACCCTATACTCCTGTTGTGTAGCTGCAGTAACTAAATTTTATTTTTGAGAGGTGTATGGTACCAACTTTAAAACACCACTGTAGTGATGCTTTTAAACAACAGTCAAACTTGTGTCCAGAGTAATTCACCTAATTGGAAACGATGGGTGTATCAGTGTTTGTAGAAACAAAGGCAGTGGGTTTTTCTCTTCTTGGGATCTTGCTTTATGCTTAATTTTGGACAGCACTCTTCGCTTTCTTAACCTGATTGTGTTCATGGAGAAACCAGATAACTAGAAAACAGTGTGTCTGCATGGGTAGTAATGTAAATTTATCTGCTTTTCACTGAGAGTAACTGTCTTCTCAGTTCACTACACCTTAGGTATTTTATATTTTTGTGAGCTTTGAGTTATGATGAGTTTCCTTGATGTGCAGTCCCGTAACTTCAAACTTTGGTCTTTATTTGGGTATTAACCAATGTGCCTGCGTAGCCTTGAATGTCACAAATAACGCGATGAACGCTCTCTCCTCCAGAGCGGTTCCAGCAAGCAGCCGATCTTATTGATGCAGAACAACGGATGAAAAAATCCATGTGGGGTCAGTTTTGGTCAGCTCATCAGAGGTTTTTCAAGTACCTTTGCATAGCATCTAAAGTGAAGAGGGTGGTGCAGCTAGCTCGGGAAGAAATCAAGAACGGGAAGGTAAGTTGATCAAGATCTGTTTTTAAATATCTTGAAGTGTGAAGCTAATAGATTTTGTAGTAACATTTTTGGATGGTAGTAGCATGCTTTTGTACTCTGAAGCTGTTTAGTGAGCAGAAACGCAGGCAGAAGTCAGGTTACAAGTCAGTCTCGGTGACAGTGCCTTGTACCCCTTGTCCTGCAGTGTGTTGTTATTGGCCTGCAGTCCACAGGAGAAGCGAGGACGTTAGAAGCTTTGGAGGAAGGTGGTGGTGAACTGAACGACTTTGTTTCTACAGCAAAGTAAGACCTGAAGTTTGTTAGAACCGCCCTTTACAAAACGAACTGTAATGCAGCTTTGTGTGTAGTAACTTGTCCTTCCACGTGTAACGCGCACATCAGTGCCCGGGGAGCTGGGTGTCCGTCGTACCGGGGTTCTTAAACGGACAGCATTGCTCGCGTGAGCCGTTGGCTGGTGCCTTGTGCTGCTGGCGCTCCGAAAGGGCGCGTTCGGGTGTGAGCTGCTGGTACCGCTTTACCCAAACCAGGAGGAGGGGAAGACTGGCAAGTGTACACTGCATTTATACCAAACAGGTTCAAAGGGGGAAGTCACAGTTGTGTCAGATCAGCCAGATCCAGTCCTGAGACCACCTTAAGCTAAGCTGTCGTTTAAACTGAGCGCTAAGAAAATGGCAGTAGCAATACCCTTTGGCACCAGCAGCATTTAACGAGTTACAAGTGACAGTGCTGTAAACGTCTCCTACTTGTAAGAAGGTGACCAAGGCAGTAATATGGGTGACAGATGCACAGAGTGCTTGTGTAACGCGTTCGCAAGCAATAATTCTGCTGAGAAGTCGAGCAAGCTCTTAAATGTTACACATTCCTACTTTAAATGCAAATTTGACTGAAGAACCCTTTTTTTTTTTTCTTAAACAGAGGAGTATTCCAGTCCCTTATTGAAAAGCACTTTCCAGCTCCTGACAGGAAGAAGCTGTTCAGCTTGTTGGGCATTGACTTGACTGCTCCAAGTAATAACAACTCGCCCAGAGACAGCCCTTGCAAGGAGAACAAGATAAAGAAACGGAAAGGTAAAGTTCTTGCGCCGGTGCCGTAGTGCAAATGGCAGTTTTGGAGCTGCCTGGGAGTGAGCTCGGGGCAAGGCACGGGAGTGTCACCATCAGTGCAGACATTCATGGAAGGGTGTAATGCAAGCCTCCGGAGACTTCTGCTGGAACTTCCCATGAACAGGTTACGGCAATACGACCTGTAAATTCTGGTTACTACTTTGCTCAAATTTGGGTTGATCTAGTACGGGGCCCTATCGCAGAACACCTTGCCACATGTCAGACCACTTCCTGATGCACTCACACAAATAACTGCTTTCTTTTGCTTGAGGCTTGGTAAAGAGAAGCCTCGTAGCACTCCCCCTTTCCAAAGCTGGTTGTGTTCTCGCGCAGAAGTAGGTGGTCATAAAAAAACCTCGGGAGAGAGGTCTGTCCTAAAACTCACCTAGATTATTCGACGGTTCTCTGTCTAGAAGGTGAATATTTTTCTAGTTTGTATGTGGTGGTGGTAAAACACACCTCCGAAGTAGACTGCAAGGTCTGAACTAACGTGTATTTTTTTCCTTCTGGGGTGATCGTGGTGATGGAATTAGGGGAAGAAATAAGCAGAGAAGCCAAAAAAGCCCGCAAAACAGGTGGCCTTGCAGGTAGCAGCTCTGATGAGAGTGAAAGTGAGTCTGATGCTTCAGACAATGAAGAAAGTGACAATGAGAGCTCCAAATTTTTGAGTTCTGGAGATGATGACGACTTCAACCCATTCAGAGATGAATCCAGTGAAGATGATGAAGATGGTAAGAGAGTTTAAGTGTTTCATCAAGCTGTACTTGCAGACAGTAAGCGTAAAAGCCTTCCTAACCAGTTCAGTGAGCCAGAAGTTAGAATGTTTGATAAACATGGAGCTTAATTCCAATGGGACAAATTAGTAGTAGAATTCTGATTTGCATCTGCTTTAAGTAGGCTTTACACACTGGAGTTCAGACTTCTGTATGTCACCTTTTGTAGTGAGAATGTAGTTCAAAGAAAAGGATGGCTTTTTACTGAATGCCTAAAAATTTCTGAAAATAACTTTAACTTCAGATCCCTGGTTAATTAGAAAAGAGCATAAAAAAACTAAAGAGAAGAAAAAGAAGAAAAGCATAGACCCCGACTCAATTCAAAGTGCCTTACTAGCTTCTGGTCTCGGATCAAAACGACCTAGCTGTTTCACTTCCACTGTTGGTACCACCACTTCCAGTACCAACACGTCAGGTAAGAGTAAGTTCCTTGGTGTTTATTCACTCTCTCAGCAGCTAAGCAGCGAAATTCGAAATCTTAGCGTTTCTCTTTCAATTTCAGCAAACAGTAACACCAACAGTAGCTTTGTAACCAGTCAGGATGCTGTTGAAAGGGCCCAACAAATGAAGAAAGAGCTGCTTGATAAACTGGAGAAGCTGGCTGAAGATCTCCCACCTAACACACTGGATGAGCTTATAGATGAACTGGGTGGTCCGGAAAACGTTGCGGAGGTAGGCTGATGTTCACGTTGAGGAAAAACGGATGTGTATTTCCAGGACCAACAGTTTCTTGTTGGGTAAATCGTACCAGTTGCTCTTGCACCGTAGTGGAATGTTTCTCTAAGCAGCTGTAGTCGGTTTGAAGCTGGTGTATGTGAGAGAAAGATCGAGAACCTGTGCAATTAAACTGCTTTAGTGAAAAGCCTGATGAACTTTTACCTCTTCTCAATAACTCTAGAAACCTGTCTCTAGTAAGCTGCCTGTCTCTACCAAGTAGAAATATCCTTCTGAGTCCAAGGACCCTGTTAAAATCAGTGACAGTCTCAGCTGTCCCATTTACTTTCTTATTGGTGGCATTCTGTTGGTAAATCCACTCGGGACAGGAGTGTAATACCAAGTCACTACTACGTGGATATGCTTTGTTACGCTTTTGATTCCTTGAGTTGTCTCCAAGTAAGTGTTCCATGTAGCAGATAACGGCATTGACCAAAAAGTAACCCAGGCTCTCTGCCGTAGCCTGGCCCTTGGAGTGAATCCCGGAACCCGTGTCGAGGCTGGCGTAACAAACGGCATCAGTGCTTCCGGGCTCTGGTCACGTGGTAGCTCCGGGAGCACCATGACGAGCTGGTGTTCCCTTTCCTTTTTAAAGATGACAGGCCGCAAAGGGAGGGTCGTAAGCAACGATGACGGCAGCATATCTTACGAGTCCAGGTCCGAGCTTGATGTGCCCGTTGAAATTCTGAACATCACGGAAAAGCAGCGGTTCATGGATGGAGATAAGGTAATCCCTCACGAGACGCAGCTTGGAAAAACGTGCCAGGTGCCATAGTAACGCTGGTTTAAGTTACTCAGGTGGTGGCTCTGCCATTATCGGTGACACTGTAGGTACTGTAAGTGCTATTGGAAAGCGTTTTCCATGCACTCTGAAAGGAAATACTGACTGGAATAATGGTAGAATTGAGGCTGATAAAACGGGGGGAACCTTTCCTGTGGTTCATTGGGACGTGCTGCCACAAGAGGGCAAATGAAGTCAGCGTAGCTGTTGGTGGAACTTGTGGTCTGGTAGCTTGAGGGGGAATACTCATGTTCCTGGAAGCGACTGGCGCACGCTCCGAACACTTGGGTTCTTTCAAGGCAAAAGCATGCGGCTACCAAAATGACCGAAACCTCTTCCTTCTGCAGTACCAGCAGCTACTTTCTCTTCTCTGCTGCTCACCGTCACACAAGTCTCCCTGTGTCCCTCCACTCATTCCACGAGGTGTAGGCCAGCATGAGAGAAACCCACCCTTCGACTGCAGCGCGCTGCCTTTTTTCGTGTGCACGGGAAAGGTGCTGCTGAAAAGTCAAGGGAAAACCACTCCTCCCACTCAGAAATGCTGCCCAGTTTTATAAACTCTGCTGGAGCCACGCTTTCTCTCCCCTCTCCCTCCTTGTCATCAACTAGCAGCAAAACCATTCCAGACCCACCTTAGTAACTGTAAAACTCAATTCTTTTATACGCTGAAGCTTGATCTTGGCTTTATTGCTAACTAACAACTCCTTTCTTAATGGAAGAACATTGCCATCATCTCGGAGGCTGCCAGCTCTGGTATATCGCTGCAAGCAGACCGCAGAGCTAAGAATCAGAGACGGAGGGTTCACATGACTCTGGAGCTGCCGTGGAGCGCGGATAGAGCAATACAGCAGTTCGGTAAGTAACGCTTTGCCTCCTTCCCCGAGCAGTAAATGCCGTTCGTATTGTGGAGTTTGCGAACTCCTGGAAAATAAGATGGAGTGAGCAACCTCTAAGGACCCTTCAAATCTCCTTTACTCATGACAGAATCAGTTTAGTTATAGCTGATGGTCTTGACAGTTTTGACAGAAACCGAGCAAACAAACTGACGCTGCAGTTTAGGGATTTTGCATGGATTGAGTGACTGAAAGTTGCCACAACTCCAGAGCACTTGTGCTGCTTTCCGCTGGCTGTGTGACAGCACAAACTCATTTTCTGCAGGATTAAGTTCTAGTTTGTTTTCTTTACTCTTCACAATTCAGTGAAGTTCATGTAACATATTTACTTCTACTTAATTATCCAGGAAGAACTCATAGATCCAACCAGGTGACTGCTCCAGAGTATGTGTTCCTAATCTCTGAACTGGCGGGCGAGCAGCGATTTGCATCCATAGTTGCCAAAAGACTGGAGAGCTTGGTAAGACTGTCTCAAGAAGTCCCTTCCTTCACTTGAGAAAATACAACTTAAGTTTCTTTCCTTTAAAAACTGATTTAATTACAAAGGTGTGTCTCAACAGGGAGCCCTCACCCATGGTGACAGGCGGGCTACGGAAACTCGAGACCTCAGCAGATTCAATTTTGACAACAAGGTGACGGTTCCATTTCTGTTTGGAAGCTGGTGCTGTGCTGCTTAGTCTGCAAAGGCGCTGTTGAGGGAGGTTCCTTCTGCCTCCCGCAGAGTGTTGTAGCTCTGTCGCTTTCTGACAAGAGGCAGATTTCTGACCTCGCCAGTAAACGTACTTAATCCTGTTTGGAGAGCCACGTGGGTCATCAGTGTCTGTGTAAACCACTTGTCTGCATTTGTTAACAGTCCAGGTCTGAAGTAAAGGGTGGTGTCCTTTCAGTCACAATGGAAAGGTTAATTTGACCGTTCCAATTAGGAATTAAGACTGGGCTGTTTGTGTAGTGCAGTTCATGACTGAGAAGCTGCTAACCAGTTCCCTTCACTGGTTATAAATGGTTGTGAAGCCACGTGTGCCTGGGGCTGAGGCAGAAGTGCTTGCCATGGTGTTAGAGCAGAGTTCTCTCTCTCATGCAGTACGGCAGAAATGCGCTGGAGATCGTTATGAAATCCATTGTGAACTTGGACTCCCCGATGGTCTCGCCGCCTCCTGATTTTCCTGGGGACTTCTTCAAAGGTGAGTGTGAGTTGCCACATGCCATCGCCAAGTTTTGATCCCTCTCCGGTGTGCAGGCAGTGCAAAGGATTTTAGGGCTAGGGAACGCTTTCATTAAGCCAGTCGGCTGGCCCAGCTGAGCTCTCGCCGGGTGTTAGTCCTGTGCACGTTGCTTGACTGTCAAAGTTCACATAGGAAGCAAGGAGTGACCTCGTTCACCGTGAGGCATGTTTGTCTGGCCAGAGCGTTGCGTACAGCTCTTCAGCTCTGTTTTCCCGTTGTGTCGGGGTGTCTTGCTCTCCTCTGGTCTTGTGCACAGTGCCGTTGGTAGCTTTCCCTGCCTGCCCTTCCTGGAAGGGTGGAAGGCGAAGTTCTGCCTCACTGATGTATTGGGTAGAAATTGCAAGCAACGTCTTGGAGGGGTGTCAGGAGTGTTGGAGTTGGATCCTCAAACACTGCTTGTTCAGCAGTCTGTCCTCCACGCCCTGGTTTTCAGATGGCACAGCAGCTGTGATGTAACTTCCGTCTCTTTCCTAGACGTTCGTCAGGGATTGATCGGTGTAGGCTTGATAAACGTAGAAGACAGATCTGGAATCCTAACGCTGGATAAAGGTACTTGTGCGTTTCGTGTATCTTAAGGGTGTCACTAGGGATATCCTGTATCGTGATAGTGGATTCCCAGCAACAGAACTGAAGTTGTATCTAAAAAGTGATGCTTGTGGATAACTTCCGAATGGTTTCCTCATTCCTGAAAGAATGGATCAAGTAGGCTTTTTGAGACTGAGAGCTTGTTGTCACCAAACTTAATCTTTGTTGACCTAATAAGTGTGTTTCTTTTTTTTTTTTTTTTAAGATTATAACAACATAGGGAAGTTCCTGAATAGAATTCTTGGGATGGAGGTACATCAGCAGAATGCTTTATTCCAGTACTTCTCCGACACGCTAAATGCAGTTATTCAAAATGCGAAAAAGAACGGGAGATACGATATGGGCATCTTGGGTGAGGAGAGCAGCTTTTCAGTACCCTTGTTCTTACGTAAGGACAGACCAGCAGAATAACTCCATCCTTTCCCTTTAAGATTTGGGCTCTGGGGACGAGAAAGTAAGGAAGGCAGATGTTAAGAAGTTCTTAACTCCCGGATACTCTACCTCTGGACATGTAGAACTGTACACAGTAAGTTAATTCTGCGTCGTCTTTGTGTGGACCAAGACGACTCGACTTGCAGCAGGTTTTTAACAGAGGGCACTCAGCGGCGTGTGCTGCGTGAGGGGAGGTTCCAGGCCTCTCGCTGGGCGGTGTTTGGTTCTGTGGGTTGTTCGTTCCCGTGTCTGTGGCTGCACTAAAGCCTGTTCCCATTCCAACACCCCTCGTGGCTCTCTTCCAGATCAGCGTGGAGAGGGGGATGTCTTGGGACGAGGCGACTAAGATCTGGGCAGAACAGACGGGCCCAGATGATGGATTTTATTTATCACTACAGGTAAGATTCTTTGTCTCTGGGAGTATCTTCAGCAAAGTAGAATCTAAATACGTCGATTCTGTCTAAACATGCAGTCTCCCCTGATGAATTTACTGTTCAGATTAATTACTGCTCAGCTCCCAGAGCTCTCAGTCTGACATTAAAACTGACCTTCAGTTGGTTTCTGACCCTGCAGTCCTCCTTAGCTGCTCAGGATGTTTTCCGATAGGAATGTGAGCCCAAATGAACAGCTGTCAGTCAAACCTGCATCAAGAAACCAGGTGCTTTGCCGTAGGGAAGAGTTAGGAGGTCCATGTAGATGAGCGGGGGTGTCCCCGTTAATACGGACTGTCCTGTTGCCCCCACACGTGCCGTTACTCCAGAAGAGCGCAGTACAGAATCATGGATGGGAGATGCTGTCAGCATGCTTAAACTTTGAGTTTTGGGTTTGTCTGTCTTTTTTCCAGATAAGAAATAACAAGAAAACCGCTATTCTAGTAAAAGAAGTGAATCCTAAAAAGAAGCTTTTTTTAGTATACAGACCAAATACTGGGAAACAACTCAAACTAGAAACGTGTGCCGACCTGAAGAAGAAATATAAGAAGGTAACTATTTAAAACTAGTTTTAAACTTAGAAAAGTTTTAAAAGAAATAAAAGAACTATTTCTAACGGGAGCGCTCTGGATGTAGGCTTGCAGAAACCATGTAGCCCCAGCTTTACAGGACCCCCCAGTACAAGCTCCACCCTGGGAAACAAGCCTAGTTTTTACTTGCTGGAGCTATACACAAATAACAGCAAAATCATCTGAGGTGTGCTAATACGAAACGAGGGGTTTCTAGCGTTGAGCAAGGAACAGTCCTGCTTCTGTGCAAGGTGCACAGACGTGCTCTGGGATGAGCAGTGTAGGGAGCGCTCTCAGCCAGGCCGCTGAAGCTGCAGCTGCTTGCTGACATCTCCAATGGTGTAACACGTCGTTTCGTTAGAGGCTGGTGAGACACCTAGTGCTGCTCTTGAACAGTTTCGTGGTACTGAGTTTGTAAAAACTTGGGGAAACTCTTGAGACCAGGTTGATTTGTTGGAAAAGCTCTGAGATGCTGCTGTTCTCGTTACTGAGATTCTGCTGTGTTGAAGCACTTGCTCACCCATCGAGAGGGCATTTCGATGGAATAGCCGGAAGGAGAGGCTGACGTCCCTCTCCTCACCGTCAGAGTGTCAGTGCGCTCTCTGCTGTCGTAGCAGTGACCAAACTGTTCTTGTTCTGTGGGAGTCTTGATGTGCTTTACCTCGTTGTTCCCAGGTACCTTCTGAGGATGCTCTGCCACACTGGTTAGAGCAGTACAATTCTTCTGCGGACACCTGCACCCACGCTTACTGGTTAGTGTTTGCGTGCATGTGGATGCCTGAGCCTACAGTTCACCGCCACCGGTTTATCACTCCTGTTCCCCGTGTGAGATCCTGAGTTTCTGCTTCAGAAAAATGACCCCGTTGACCAGTTGCATGACCCAACCTTTGAGTGGAAACATGGAGCTTTGCTCTGGCCCTTAACGTCCGGACGTACCGGATGAAGGGTGATGCACCCAGCAGAAGTCTAGTGACCCCGCAGTAGCTTGTGCTTTAAGCATCTTGATGTATTACTGTGGGAGGGTAGTTCAGATGTTGCTGTTCCTGAGGAACAGCGTAACTGGCAGAAGCTCCAGATTAATATTGGAGCTTCCGAAATTCGCGGATCAGATCCCAGTTTCCTGTGTAACAGGTTCAAGTTCTTGGTGATGGACATGACTGGTGGCTCTGGCTTAAGGCTCTGTCTGTGCTCTGTCTAAACAGGCCAGCACTTCTCCAGGCTTTGGCGTTGGAGATGTGCTGTGGGTCAAGTACTCCCCCAGCCCTTGCAGTGTGCCTGCAGCCCTTGCTGGACTCTGCATGCGTGTGAATAACGTTGTCTTCTCCTGGATTGAATTGGATATTTTTTTGTTGGCGGAATTCTTCTGAAAGCTTTTTCTCCCTCTGCTGCAGGAGAGGCAATTGTAAGAAGGCCGGCTTGGGATTAGTTTGTGAGGTGGGACTCCGCTGTCGAACTTACTATGTCTTGTGTGGGTCAGTGCTGAGCGTCTGGACAAAAGTAGAGGGCGTTCTAGCCTCTGTGAGCGGTACAAACGTGAAAATGCAGATAGTTCGTCTAAGAACAGAAGATGGGCAGAGGATTGTAGGTGAGTTTGTCTCCTCCTGTATTTCTGTCTCGGAGTAGAAGGTGGTTGTAACTTACTAGTCTGGCTGTCTGGAGTCCTGTGGGAGGCTTTATCGCGATGCCGACAGGAGCGAAGGCTCCTCAGTGGGAGTGTTGGGGAGGGGCAGAAGCGCAGCCGTTGAAATCCTGTGTTTGCAGTACAAACCCTGCTTTGAGACGGGCTAACGGAGGAGGAAGTTCTCTTTTCAGCCAGGCCTTGGAGCACTTACCTCAGTTCTGCTTTACTAGAAACAAACCCTTTTCAGCCCGTTCCAGCCAAGGTGCTTTTGGAAACCACTGGGGCTCTGCTCTTTTCCCTGCTTCTGGCAAAGAAGAGTAAGCCCTGGAAATGGTTGTTGTCATGGGGTTTGAGCTACCTATAGTCACGTGTAATCGCCAGTTCAGAGGGGCTTCAAGGTGATGGTCATTCCTTGATGCTAAAACTCGCAGTGAAGCCCTCGGAGCGGGCTTCCTGTGGATCAGGGCAGCACCTACCCTGGTAATGGGTTCTAAGGTGGTGAAGCCAGGCTGTTCCTGTTTAAACTGTGGTGGTGGTGTGACTTCCGTGAGCCAAGGACAGCTGACATGTGGGTTTGTGTGGCAGCGGGGTAACATCAGCATAAAACTTGTCGTTGGGGGCAAAATGGCAACTTCCGTCTGCTACTTCGTGACCTGAAGGGTCTCGCGAGCTCCGATAAACCTCCTGCTGAGCAGAGGTAGCGTAGCTCTGCCCCATCAGCTGCGACACTGGAGACAGTCCCCAACCGTCTGAAAGTAAACGGGGTAAGGAGCAAGTTGTTTGCACGCTCACTGACTTGTTGCTGTTTCAGGTTTGATCATTCCCGCAAATTGCGTGTCGCCCCTCGTCAACCTCCTGTCGACGTCAGACCAGTCTCAGCAGCTGGCAGTGCAGCAGCAGCAGATATGGCAGCAGCACCACCCGCAAAGCATCACCAACTTCAACAACGCGTGAGAGGACAGACTACGGGCGTTGACATTGGTGTTTGAGGAAAAGGCTGTAAAAGCATATCACTCGCATCAAAATCAGGGACAGATTCCAAAGAAATATAACCTTTTCAGTTCAGTTGTGTGCTCTCAAATACTTTGGGAATAAAGAGCTCTAAACAGGTTAGTAGAACTGAAAGCCAGCAGTTGTTGATGGTGGTGCATCTGTCTTTCCTTATGCTCTCGGTAGTGCTTCCTGTTTGCTTTTACTTTTTGGCCTTTTAAGCTACAAACCACAATTTGTTTGGAAATGCTTGAAAATCCCCAAGCAGGCTTTATTTTTATCTTGTCATACAGTGCTCAGGGTTTAACGCAGTGCATCGACGCCATTGCTGTGGGAGATAGCCTTGAATGCATGTACTGAGTATATATATAGAAACTATATATTGGGGTTCCTCCTTCGATTTCTGAGTTCATACACGCATGAAACCTCGAGGTTGCACATCATGCATTCAGGTTCCTTCCCAGTTTCTGTTGGACAGTGCATGTCTCTGGAAACGGGCATGGACAGGATAAACGCGCGACAGGAATTCGGAGAGAAACACAATCTTAGTTGTACAGCATTGGTTATTGCATTTTTATAGTGTTTATACCCAGGTGTTGCATTTTTTCTGGTTCTCTCCTGGGGGTTATATATTTGAGTCTACAACATGTTCTTTTTGTGATAAACATCTTAAATTAAAATTAGTTCCTTTTTAATGTATTAATGGTATTCCTAATGTGTACTGCAAAGATGGCTGGATGCCTGTTTTCCTTCAATTGAAGCATTTCCTTAATCCGAGATGGTTACGGAAACTTAAGTGCAAATTCACTTCCATCTCGCATACAATCTTCTATTTTTTACTTCATTAATGTAATTTAATTTGTCACTTGTAAGATGAAACCTTACTTGAGCTGTAAATTAGAGTGGGAAACACTTGAGGGTTCCGCTGTATGTGCTGTTTCTGTTACCCAGTAACTTGAATACTGTTTAATATGTTGTAAGACATTGTAGAGTTTATCTGGAGCTGTTTAAAAGAAATTGTAATGTACAAATGTGAATAGTCACTTATCTATAATATGGGTAAGTTTTGTTTTGCCTATAATAGTAGATGTTTATAAGAAAGTGAAGGACAATGTTTGTCATTTCTTGCTTGCACAGGTTGCACTATTGAAAAATTGAGATTGTATAAACCTGTCCAAAAAAGCTACAAGATAATGATCTTGTAGATGTCAAATAAAAGTTATTGTACTAACAAGAAGTGGAGTCTTGTTTAGGCAGTCCCTGTCCAAGAAGACTTAACAAGTCAGTACAGCTGGAGTCGGACAGGACTTGGCATGTTCCCGTCTGCTTTAACCAGGCTTCTCTCTTGAGCCCAGGCATTCCGGGTGAACTCGTTAGTGAGGCGAGAAGCTGCCCCGTGTGAACCCCGATGTGCGCTCTAACCAAGGTGGACTGCCAGCAGCACGCCGGGGGGCGAGCGGTGCTTCCCGAACCACCCGGCCGGCTTCGAGCGTCGGGAAGAGGTTTTTAAGTGAGGTAGCCAGAAGTTCTGCAGCTTCGGCCTGAAGAGAGCTCCCTTGCCCGAGTTCCTTCGCTGCCTTCGCAGGGGGAGCTGCCTGTGCCGGCATCTTGGCGCAGCACGCCTGCGTGTCGGGAAGGACGTCTGCCGGCTTGCCTCAGCTCCCAGGCTGCGAGGGTCACGGCGTGAACCCCCTGCACGCGCTTGTGACTGGGAATGGAGATCCCGGATCCATCAGC